ATTCCCTCTGCTTTTCACAATAAACCCAAAGATCAATTGCCCGGCAAACAGAACAGCCAACCGGAATAAGACATTTCCAGACCAGATGACACCAAGGGCAAAATTTTTAAGGAGAACCAGTTGCTTCTCAAGATTGCTGTATGAGCAAAAATCACTTTAGAGTGACATTCGGGTGTTACAAACTGTGGTGATGCCGAGTGTTCAAGTGCCTGCCTTCCCACTGGAACTTGCCCACTGGAGCTTTGGGGGCTGCCTGCACAGCACCTAAGAAAAATGAGGCATCTCCAGCATTCAGAAGGGCTACTTGTGCAAAACAGATGCTGTCGTAACTAGGATATGCTGAAGAACGTACTGTCGTGCTTGATAATTCACAGGCAGACAGGCATAAGCACCAACGTTTTTGTTTTCGGTCAGGTTTACATCCTGTGAATATGGTTCAAGTGATTCCACATACGAAAAACTCCCGTGAACTTGCAGAGGGCAATGCATAGGAGATACTGTATCACCTTTTGCATCTTCATCTTTCATTTACAATTAACATATTTGGATTTTATAAACTGAGTATATTCCACCCTTTCACACTCCTCCTTTCCTACCTCCAGTTCTCCAGAGAAGCATGCTCAAAGAACAGAGATCACAGTCAGAATAATTTTGATTGATAGCACAAGGGAATGTTACCGCTTCTATGGAGATGTGAATTTTTAAAACATGCATTGATTATGAATGTATTAACGTGCCTGCTGTTGATGCTACACAACTTTTAGAACGGGACAAACCACTGAATAGGAGAGGCATAATAACTCAAAGCCTGCAGCCACTCGTTGCAATAGACAGGAACGGAAGGAATTTTGTTGCAAAGAATTTTTAAAAGCCACTTGACGTAATTGGGAAAACGAGAACACGAAATGTAAAATAGTTTTGTTCTTCCTAGGACTAGGCCTGCTGCAATCTTTACAAACTGTCCATTTGTCATCCAATGGCATACGACAGATTGATCTGAATGATTTTCAAAACTGTTCACAGCTGAAGGACATCAACTTGCAAAACAACAAGATAACTAAAATTCATCCAGACGCCTTCAGGGATCTCAACAAATTACAGGTTGTAAAGCAATATTACAACTGTTTCAATGTTTTGTGTTAATCACCATTAAAGATATTAATTATCAACTATTCAGCATGATTATATTGGTCTTTGATTATTATATTAGTATACAATTATATAAAGCAAATGGTGAAAATAATCATTTTTATATAATACATATACTTGTTTTTCATATATAGGAAAACACACACACTTGTAAATATACAAAATATGACTGTAAATTCACTATTTATCTATGCCACAAACCAATCCATAAGTGGCTTAAACACACATACATCCTTTTCTACCCCCGTCCCTTCCATGGCGGGAGCCCTGCAGCTTCCCATTCACACAGAGGTAGTCTACAACGGGAGAATTCTAAATATACCACACTTTAAACTTTTCATTTAAATTAAAAAGCTTAGAGCAATACTCTTGAAATCCTAACCAGATGTATCGTTCCCGTAACTGCAAAAGTGCTTGGATACTAAAATAAATTTATTGTTGATATTGCAATTAGGATTCCATTGTAAGGCTTACCAAATTAATTCTGAATTCTTTCCAAATAGGTCGTGGATCTCCGTCAAAATGCTCTGACAACCCCTTTACCACAGATATTAATGAGTTTGAACTTCTTTCAACTTGAAGTGGGTTTGTCAAATAACGCCTGGATATTTAACTGCAGACTAAATGCTTTCAAACATTTATTTCATTTTCTTTTTGACTCCACAAGGAAAAAATGGCGTATTTCATACAATAAATCTGCCAGCGACTCACAGAAACCTCTGCTGTATCTTTCAAGTTTCCATTTAAACTGCAGCGACAGTGTTTTGCTCAAGAGGGCTGTAATCCCAACAGGGAAGACATCGGTGCTAAACTGCGACCTGGACAACACAAGGGGTATGTAAAACAGGGACTCTATCGATACGCTGCTAAAACCCAAACACGTGCAGAATGATCAAAGAAATCCGGTTTAAAAAGTGGATTTCTAAAGATACTGTTTAAAAATAACTGAACAACAATTTAACATGCAAATTACTTCATTAGGAAGTAGTGCACCGGTTAGAATACTTGAAAGTCATGTTTCCCAAAAAAAGTCTTCATCTCCTTCCTTACATTAAACTAGTAGGTGATGCCAAATTATACACAAATAAATTTCAATAAGTAGTATGTTGCAAATTTAACAGTTACTTTTGGAAGGCAAATGAAGGACCAAATAGTAGGGCGGCACTTCTGGGGCATGTAGAAAACTGAGAAGGATACAATAGTGTTTTCTAGTATTCAGTTACAGCGAAATGAAATGGAAGTTTATTTGCAAGGGGAAGGATTTATATTTCTTCTAAAAAAGTACAGCTACTGGAGCACACAGTTCACTTAGGAAACTAATTCAGCATTTACAATTAATACAGAGCACTTGAAGTACAAGTGACAAAACCTACGGAGCTCAGACTTCCCACGAAGAAGGAAAACTAAGACCAAACTTAGAGTAGAAGGTGTATTTGTCATGTGCCATCAGGCAAAACGGTTTAACTCTAATGGACTAATAGCACTTTCAGGTGGTAAGGCTGTCCCCTTGCAACACTTTATCCCCAGATGAAAATACGTAGGGTCTATCAGAAATGCCACCCGCTTTGCCTGTTAACAAGGAAAGTCACGGAAACTCTGATCACGGGATTAAAATCAACACACTGGATTGCACCAAAACTCAACTGGGAACGCAAGCAGATCCAAAGGCAAAGGTGCACATACAACCTGGAAACATATTCCAAAAACCAACAGCCAGCCACGGCCTATGCTAGCTAAAGTTTGGAACAATTGCTCGGCAAATACAAATATCCTTGGTTTTCAAACCTTTTTGCTGCAGTCAAAGCAGTAACTACAGGAAAATCACAGTGGTTGAAACATTGATGGTCAACTAGTGAAGTTTTATCCCATAGCTGCACGCAGTGGCCATGGCCACGCTGGAGAACGGCTGGCTATAAATACGGATTTTCCACAAGGGAGCTCAGCGGGTGTTCCTAGTATGACCCAGAACACACTGAGATCATTTCAGTGACCTCCTCCCTTACCCACGCCATTTTTCTTGTAAAGTCTGCTATTAAGGCCCTATACATACTGTGTTTTAAACGGGGGGAGGGGGGAATACAGGATGGCTTCACAGGTACCTGGTACCATGTAAAACGACTATGGATGGATAAAAAGAAAATGGATTTTCTAATAAATAGTTAAAATTATCAAAGATAAGTCAGAGTATGCTCTTATAGAAATAACTTAACCCTGCAAACCAAGTATCCTATACTTTTAAGAAAGATTTAGTTTGTGTTTTCTTTTATTTCAGGTAATGGAGTCTCTTGGTGGACACCTAAAGGCAGAATTTCAGAAGACAACAGCCTTCCTCATATGACACTGGATAAAATGAATAATTTAGTGCTATACAATGCTGAGAAAACTGCTGAAGGGTTATATCTGTGTATTTTTAATACACCAAAGGAGAAATATCTCATCTACGATATACAGATGAAAGAAAAGGTTTCAACGTTTTCGGTTAGAAAAGCCCGGGACACTAACACTGTTTTTAGACAAGGAAGAACAGAGCAAGACCTCGCATTGGCTGTCTGCCTCTCAGTGTTCATTACGTTTGTTTGTGCTTTTTGTCTGGGTGCTTTTGCTAGACCCTACCTTGTGAGCCTGTGGAGACTCATGCGCAGGAACAAAAATTCAGGTTCAGAACATACTTATTCTAATCAAGCTTTTTCAGATGAAACCTTGAGCAGAGAGTGCTCTGCAAGCAAACCAACAAATACGCAGTGTAATTTGTTCATTTTTGATGAGAATTCTTCAAGAAACACACACGTTTTTCCTACAGAAACTTCTTCTTTGCATGAAAATGTCATTGGTAGCAGTGTACATGCACCAAATACCGAAGAAGAGTACCAGAAACAAAGCAATAATGAGATCGTGAGGAAAAAAACAGTGTTTTCAGACATCAAACCTAGTATCAACAGTGATGAAAATATAAATGTTGATAACGGACAATTTTCTGTAAGGATAGATTACAAGAACAGCAATGAAGTAACGCCAAGAAAATTAATGAGTAATAACATTTCATTACGGAAAGATTCAAAATATGCAAATAATGAAGACTCAGAGAAGAGAAGGTTCCCTCCCATGCCCAGGAGATTGAATGCTGCCTCTTATTCAAATCACACTGACTCTTCAGATTCGGATTCATCCTTCACGGGAGAAACTGGCTTTCCATTTTCCACAATACAAACACCTACAGCTGCACGAGATTCTAGGAACAGCAAGGTAAGCAACAACTCTGGTCTGCCGCAGTCTGAAATCACAAAGGCTACACCAGATTCTCCTGAAAGAAAAGGTATCGTTTCACATAATGAACCCATGAGCACTACAAAATTTATGCCTGGAAGGCAAAGCTGTGATGAACAACTTGGTTTAAACGGCAACATGAATATAACCAGTGATGTGGGAGATTTTATTTTACCCAGTAGCTGCAAGAGAGGTACAAATATTGAGAATTTAAGTGTGTGCCAAACAATAGAAAACTCTCCTCTTACAGAGTACGACTATAAAACGGAATGTACAAATGAAAAAGATGCTTCAGCAGATATATTTGGCGATAGTTCTTCAGATGACGGGACTCCATTCACAATGAGTGACTGTAGTTCTTTAGCAGACTTTGAACTGGAACAACCTGATGTTAGTGACAACCTGCCAGTCTGTCAGTCATCACTAGAGGAAGCCGATATGAACAGCGGAACTGAGAAGTTCTCAACACTGCCAGAGTCTCCAAACATTGCTGCTGAACTTTGGCACATTGGGGAAAAGGAAGACAAGAACAATGCGTATTTTGAAACCACTACTAATTATGGATCAGATACCATCGTGCCTGAAACAGCATCACCTTACACTGATAAGTGTAGTGACCATGTAAACATTAGTTCTTCAAGTCAAGAAGTTCCCGAGACACTTGATTATTTTACTAATGCAGAGTCAACAGTACAAGACTCTATTTCTGATTCTCTCCACAACCAAAGTACAGATTTTGGTAATATGTTACTTTCATTAAAACATTCTCCCACGTATGACACAGATACAGAGAACACTCCTGAAGAGGCTGAATTGCCGCTGTATCAGTTTCCCATTGAATCACAGCATTCCCCCAGCTCCAGTCCCACTGAACAAAAAGAAAATGCACCAGAGGGAAGTACAGACGAGCACATAGACAGGAACTCCTTTGAAAAGAATCATCGTGAAGGGGATATTACATTAAGAAGAAACACGAGTACATCTGAGGACAACGATTTTATTTTTGCTCCCATTGATATTGGTTTGAATGAAATTGTTCAAACGTCATCACTACTGCATTCCAGCAACGAATCATCTCTTCAATCTCTGCCTGAACACACAGCTGAAAAACATTTTACAGTTATTACAGAGAAAGACGACTTGCTACCACAGGGGAAGCAGGTGAACACAACTAAGGCTTGTGCAGATAAAATGCAAAGAGGTTTTAATGAGAAAGACTGTGATGGATATACAGAATTACAGGATACCAGCAACCATAGTCTGCCCGAAGAAACGCAGTCTTGCAATCTTACAGCAGATTTGCTGCATCTTCACTCTTCTGGGAAAACACAATCAGTCTTCAACACAGAAAATCATTTCCAGCTGGATCAGAGTGACGAGGATGCATATTCCTTCTCAGTCCCACAAGGCTTCTCCAGTGAAAGCACACAGTACAGTTCATGTTCATTCCCACAAAAGACTACAGGAAATACAATCTCCGAAAGCACTGATTCCAGCAAGACGGAGGATGACACTACTTTGACAGGACTGGAGAACAATTCTACAACAGCTGTCAACCTCCAAAATTCAAGTGAAAAACATCAAAAAAGTCGCACCAATTTAGGACAGGGCCAGTTTTTTGTTAAGAAGAAAAGAGCATTTGATGGATTTGCTAATGTTTTGCAAAGCAGGAGAACAAACTTCAATAGTTGAGACACAGAAGTGCAATACTAATCTCCCACGGTGTTTATGTCATATAGTAAGTGCAAAAATGACTGTGTCTTAAAATGAAGTGTGTAACTTTTAGTAACTGTTAAATACCATGGGTTGTGTTTGTTTGGGGTTTTTTCCCCTCCTCAGTGCAACTATCTATCTGCCTTCAACTTCAGAAACCCAAGTTACAGAACTAGACTTAACAAGGAGATGTATAAAGCCCGGATCCATCCAATTTAAAAACACCGTAATTCCAAAGGTTAGTTCAGGCCAGAAGCCATGGACTTTTGTTTACAAGAGTACTTGTAAAAAAACAAGAATAGATTTTATGAAAAACAACTCTAGGATATTCAAATGAGTAAGCTACTCAGTAGTTATAACTGATAATAAAGCTTTTGCTGAGTTATAATAATAATATATATTTGCTTTCTCATTATTGTTAGTACCAAGATACTAGTTTCTCTTAGAAATTGCCTCTGATACGCACTGTTTTGTTTCTCTTTGTCTAAAATAAATGTAACACTGAAATTATCATTACATTATTACTGTGTTTTCCTGTGGGACTCACCCTATACAGTGAAACAGTACATATTACTGTCTTCTGCTTTTTGAACGAAATTCGTGGATTAAGTGTCTGAATTCCCACAGTTTTGCAAAGATAGGTAAAGTCCAAGCAGTATTCAATTACATTTTAAAAACTACTTTTTAACTTGGCAAGACAGAGAGTAACGAAACCCTTCTTTCTCAAAGAAACAGAATGGAATTCAAACCTTGCAGAAACATCAGTTATGGAGATCTAGCTACTGCTGGGACATCACCTGCAGTTTGCAGATGTGGTGACATAGGCAGGGTAATTTAAAAAAAGACAACCTACTATTACTAAGCTATAATTCCCTATAAAAAGGATCCTATACCCACTTCAGAATTTTACTGAGGAGCAAATCAAGAGCAGCTCAAAACTGCTGTATTAGAATATCAGTAGCTTGATACACAGTAACTTTTTCTAAGCCAAAAGATAACAAATGTAAGGTAAAATTTTCTCAGAATATGGCCCAAGGCCCTTTTAACATACACAGTATCACTGATGTAGTCCCTGAAGGGGAATGTCGTCACAAAGGGGAACAGGCCCAGGTTCCCAGAAAATGCAGGAGGCTGGCCAGCAACTCTGGGAAAACTTTGTTATGAAGACACAATTAATTCACTAAAAACTCCGAACCAAAGGAACACATTTCAATTCCATCAGCTGAGGAGCAAGTCCAATGCCACAATACATCTTTGAAACCATCTTTAAAGAGAAAACTAGAAAAAACAAAGAGATGCTAACAGAAACTAGTAATTTTTGTTAGCTTCATGTACTTGGAACTAAAGAAAAAGTAAAGCAACTGAAGGAGACCAGTACTGATATTATTTGATCTTTTGAAAAATATTTTCTTTAGCGCCTTGAGTTCCTTTTAAATAATTGTTTTACACATCTAGCATCACAACTTTCAGTTATATATTTACTGAGCCAAGTCACCTATGCTCAGATCTCCTGTTGGTTTGTTTTGGGTTTTTTTTCTGGCTGATTTTCTCAAAATCTCTAACATAATTCAGAATAGATTATATGGCAGTTTCAGGTAGGTGTTACATGGATTTGATTTAGGTCACCACAGTATTTGCAAGTAACTGCACTCAGTAACATCTGCAATTCAATTACAGGCAATGAATCTGCTGTCATTCACACAGCTCTTCTTGCTTTCCAATTAGTTCTTGGAAGATTTCTGTTCTTTTTGCTCCAGTACTCAGTGATATCTGAACTGATAACTAAGAATTTTTTTTAGGAGCAGGTACCGGCTTCATTCCTTCAGTAGGAGTCCGCTCAGGAACCAAGGATGAAATCATCTTCTGAAGAAATTGATAATTTGTCATTGAATTATTCATGAGTTTAAGGCTCTGATTTTGTTTTCTGTTTTTCAAACACAGGAAAAAGCTTTACACATATAACTGTCCGGAATTGTTAGTACAGTCTGAGTAGACAAGAACTAAATGACAAAACACTCAAATCTGCAAAAACCACAGCATTCCCAGAAATGTTAAAAATACAGTAACTCTAAAATATCGTATGCTTCCCAATACAACTCCTTCCTTGAGTATATAAATGTCTGTAAGTGTTATATCCTGTCCTACTGCAATTTTTCTCTCCTAATCCCCACGTAGCCTCAATACTCATGTAATGCCTTGGCTTCTACTGAATTTAAGGCTACTGTTCTCAGAGAGCAGCATGTGACATAAAAACCAACTGTGTTTTTAGAGGCTGTCTGGAAGTAAAGAACTGGGTAATCTGAGCGTGATTCCTCGTAGGAACAGCTACATAGCCGCTAGGAGTGGAAAACAGAACAGTATTTCCTCACCGCCAGCGCTTTTCTTAGCACTTAACCAGCTTTCAGTAAAGCTCGTTATACACAGAAGTTACTTGTGGCTGAAGCAACTTTACGAATGGAATACATAAAAAAAGCGCAGACTTGCTCTTTATGGTACGTATGAGTCTTCAAATACTGTGTTGACAGACCTCTCCAAGGTCTGTCACCTTTCGACTGTACCAGCTGCTAACAAGTTAAGAAATCTAACTACATAAGCAAGCCAATTCCGTGGATCATGGGGTGGGGAAAAAAAAATTCCGTGGCTCTATCCACGTCTCAT